AGGCCTTTAATCCCACTTCTGGGAGGCTTGGGAGGGGAGGGAACAGAGGCATGCTAATCTCATGAGTTCAAGGCCAGCCTTGAGCATAAAGGGGCCCTGTCTCAAGAAAGTTTGATTTCCAGCATCCACGGTAAGTAGTAAATGCCTATAAATCCAGCCCCAGGAGGAGCTGATGGAGTGTGGTCTCTGGGTAGGGACCTGCACTTCATGCACATGCTCACACATAAATAAAGACTCAGGAATACTCCACTCAGTAATGTGTTCTTGAGCAAGCATGGGACCTGAGCTCTGTCCCTAGAACCCATGTGAAAAGCCAGGATGTGATGGTAATCCCAGCACATCGTTGGGTTGACGGACCAGCAAGCCAGCCTATTCAGGAAGCTCTTGACCAGTGACAGCCTGTCTCCAAAATGAGGAAAAATCAACTGCAAAGGTACAAAACTCAAGGCTCTCTGGAGTCACCAAACACATGAATTTGCAAAGTTCCCTATGGGTCTCATCCTTCATCCCTCCTACCCCTGGCTCAGAAATTGTTAAGGGCACTGACTGCTATTCCAGAAGACCTGGGTTCAAGTCCCAGTACCCACATGGCAGCTCACAACTGTAAATCCAAGATCTGGTAATTCTCACATAGACATACATGCAGGCAAAACACCAATGGCATAAAATAAAGGTAAATAAAAATTCTGAGCCAAAAGCCAAACATAGTGGCATAACACCTTTAATCCTAGCAGAGGCCAGCCTGGTCTACAGAGCAGAGTTTCAGGACAACCCGGACTACACACAGAAGCCATCTCAACAAAAAAGCAGAAATTGCAGTCATACTGGATGGAGTTCCCAACTGCTTCACTAAGGAAGTATGGAGCTTTGCTGGATTAGGTTGAAATCTGACATCTCCAGGTAGTATTTGTTTACTAGCAGTTTATTATGGTGGACTCCCCTTTTTACAGCAGTTTCTAAATCTCCCCTGATCTGAGTGAGCCCAGATTTTTAAAGGAGTGTCACATAGCCCTCAGGACAGATTACAGACCCTACTCTTTCCTGATAAGAAAACCAGTCCAACAAGCACCTGGGAAATCCTAGAAATAACCCACCCTGCTAAGGCTATTAGTTTTCAGCAGCAACCTTCAACCTATATGGTAATTAACTGTTCTTATGATAGGGCCATGCTACTGCATGAAGAATTGAGGTACTGTGCCACTACATGTAAACCAAGTACCCCTGACCCCAGCAAATCATTCACTCTCAAAATCCCTCCCACTGCCTAAGTTCCTGATCTCCAAGTGCTGGCTGGTTGTGCTGTGTGTTATCACCAGCTTTCCACCATGGCTGCCTCTCATTTATCCCCCACTGGGCCCCGCCAAGCCTGTCTCAGCTGCAAACTGATCAGGTGTGGGCGAAAGCTTCATGCATGAGCTATGCCAAGTGCTGTACTCAGCACAGCAGCTTACACGAGCTCTAACACTTTGGTATCACCCGAGCGCACTGCCACCAGCAATCTCATTCTAAACTAGCTAGCTAACTAACACTCCTAGTGCACATCTTGCCCTACAATGATTTACCCGCTCCTGAAACAGAACCCCAGCTCTTCCTCTGGATTCTCCAGGCCCCAGAGAAGAGCACTAACAACAGTTCTGTTGACAAGGAGCCAGCAACCCACTGATATACACTTACCTTTACATGGAGGTTCCCAAAATCTATACGTTTTGTTCTAGTTTCTTGCATAGATTTCACTTCAAATATTTTATCAGCTAAAAGCAATTGCTAGTTCTGCAGAGGACCTGGGTTCTGTCCAAGGCACCCACATAGCAGCTTACAAACTATCTTCAGTTAAAGGGATTTTTAAAAAAAAAAAAAAGAAAAAAGTAATCTCATCCCTGTTTTTTCCGTTTTGAGACAGGATCTTCCTTATATAGCCCTAACAGTCCTGGAACTATGTAGACCAGGCTGGCCACAAACTCAGAGATCACCTGTCTCTGCCTCTTGATGCTAGGATTAAAGGTGTATACCACCAAATGCACCTTTTCCTCATTTTCTAATACCTTTCTGGCCAATATCATTAGCTGAATTCCCACAAGATGACACGGTCCTTGAAGCCTGTGTTAAGTTTCTGAGGTTATGTATTTTTTCATTTTCCAAAAGATTTTGTCCTATATACAAATAGTTGGCAGGGCTGGAATAAAGATCAGAAGCAGTACTTGCCTAACATGTGCAGGAAAGGTTCTGGGCTCAATCCCCAGTAATGCCACAAAATGTAGAAAGAAATGCTCAACAAATACTATCAGAACCTCAGTGATATAATGGAAAACAATGTAAGAGAGAGTGCTAAGTGAAGAAAATTAAGACAACTCACATCCAATTGGTAAAGATTTTTATTTATACTTTTTTTGAAATTACATTCAACGATTTCCTTTTGTTACTTAAAATATAAACCCTGATATAGTCCCTTAAGAGGCAGCATGCTTCATAGCTAAATGAAATGTTGCTCCCAGCCCCAGAATACATTCCAATGAAATATTACATATTTCTTATGGAATAGTTAGGTACCCAATTTTTTTTTCATCTCATTTGGTAAATTTGTATGTGGACAGCTTTCCTATATTGTAGTCTTAAAACTTCACTACTGCAGTAATAAAAACAGCTGTAGTTGAGAAGCCAAGAGAACATTCCTAAACCATCAGATAAGCAAAGCCAACCTACTGTCCTGTGGAGAAATGTAAACCAGTGTCCATGTGGTTTTAATATACTGATTTGCATTGAACATTATTTATCTTATACATACATTCCTGGTCTGGCCTAAGACCTGAGAGAACCAAGAAAAACTAGTCTCACAGTGGAAGTGAATCATAACATAGACAAAACAAAAACCAAATTGACACATCCTAGGGCTTCAGAACGGGTTTCAAGATGTCTATTGGAGAGAAGTTGAATCTCCTCTCTCCCTGAGCTCTGCATGCATTTTCTGAAGGTTTGGAGGGTTTTGTCTGGCTTGAGTCCAGAAGATGAGCCTTTCAAAGCACTTCCTTTTGCCAGGACAAGAGCCGCAACTGTTGTGTTGTGCCCCATGCCAAAACTGACCTTCAAGGGAAGGGCCCAAGCTGTTCATTCACATCTACATACCCAAGCAGCAGCAGGCAAATGTTAAAATACTTTTGTCAAGTGCCTATCTTCCTTTAGCTGGGCTACAAAGTCAAAGGTTTCTAAGAAAACAGGACCATATACAGGAACAGGTAGGCTGGAAATTACTCCAATCAACTTTAAACAGAAAAAGAAAGTAACGTAATGTTTCATCCTTGGGGTGACTGCTACTCAGCTCTTGTCAGGAGGTGCCTGCACTACGGTGGGTCAACTGACTAGCATATCTTCGTATCTTTCAAATATAACAAACTTTTTGTGTGGCTATCCCGATTTCTGAAACACTGCCATGTATTTTAAACTGCTTTTAACTGACCATTTGGTGTAGGCCAAGGAAAACAGGCCAGATGTAGTTGCCAGGGTTCAACCTCCACCTTGACCTGTTGTTTCCTGTCCAGGCATATGTAATGGTTCATGTTTCTTCCAACTGGTTGAGGGTGAAAACAATGAGGAATAATCAAATTTTGTAATGTGATGCCACAAAACTAGGAAACCATAATGTAAACTGGAAAACTAAAACCTCAGTGTACACTCAGATACTGTGTGGTTAACGTGTAAGTCACACAGTACTGGCTCTCAGGAAGAATTGCTAACTAATGGTTAATGACTTCAAGTCCTGTGCAGTTTGCCTTTTCAAAGGAGAGAACCTTCCTAGCCACAGCCAAAGATGTCCTCAGGCTAAGAATTGTAACAACTGCTGTTAGGAGTTTAAAATTTCTCAGTATCAGGTAGGGTTATTAGCAATTTTCTTCTAAACTTAACATTTGTTAATGAAATGTATTATTTTGGAAGGATCCAGTTACCAGTCACCAAAAGCTCTTGTATGTTGAAAATGTAATTTTAATAGATAATTCTTCATCTTACATAAGAACACAATAAAATACAGCACATTCTGAAGAAACTCCAGAAGTTATGATGTGAGGAAAATGTAGATGGGCTACAATATCCATTACCTTATATTGTAGGAGACAAAGATCCCTACCCAAAAGGTTAGCATTTACATGTTTATAACTTAAAAATAACAAGAATCAGAAATTCAATGTGGAAAAGGGTGAGAAAGGATGGTTTTACACGGGAAGAAAACTGCTAACAGCAAATTAAAAGGAGTAGCTGGGCATGGTGGCCTTTAATCCTAGCAGAGGCAGCTGGATCTCTGAGTTGGAGGCCAGCCTGGTCTATGTAGTGAGTTCCAGGGCAGCCAAGGTTACATAAGATAACCGGCCCCACCCCCCAAAAAAAAAGAAAGAAAGAAAGAAAGAAAAAGGAAGTCTCATAGCAAATCCTAGAGGGATAAGAGAAATGCACAGGAACGGACGAGCCAACGAGGACGATGCTGGTTGCTTGGGAGCTGCTCATTAGGTTTGCAAGGAACACTCAAAACTGCCTTGAAAAACATCAAATAACTAGCACACCAATTGTCATACATTTGAGTTTTCAGACAAGAAAAAAGAAAAAAAGTCATAACCTACATCTTAAGCTCAGATATAGACATGTGAAAGTCTTACATGACATGCACTTATCCTCTTTGCTGTGACTGCTGGCTATGGCCAACTTTCAATCATGGCAAGACACCAAGGATCACCTAATTAAATCAAGTAATATTTATTTCAAATTTCTAGGAGATTAAAAAAAAAAAGTCAGATACTGATGCTTCATGCATGCTCAGGGCCAGTTTATAAATACTCACTCAGTAAAATCCTCACACAAATCTGCATCAATGAAACAAACTGGTATTACTCTCCTCTTACCAATTTGTCATATGGAGAGGACCAAAACAGAATGCTCCATCCACTTTAATTTTAAATAGGATTGTCACATCGGAAAAACGAAATAAACACAGTAAAAGAAACTATACAAAGGCAAAGTAGAATAACAAAAAATATTTTACTAAAACATAAGATTTACAGAAGTTTCCAGACAAGCCATACAAAATGGTCACAAGCTTTTTTTCTTCTTTTTTTTTTTTTGGAGGGGGGGGAAGGATGAGGGTAGGGAGGCTGAGGGGTGGAAAATCTACACTTGACAGCAAAGTCACAATATTATTAGTGAGGGCTGTGATGTTTATTTATGTTCCCATTTTGGTTCAGACAATCAAGCTTGTCCATCTACAGTGTCTAAAGTTAGACTTGGCTAGAGAGCATATTCTAAAAAACTGGTTAGCTGCATTTAACCACTGCAATTAGATCCCTTAAGACGGGGAAGGGGAAAGGAGGCCATAAAATTAAAACTACTTTCCCCCTAAAAAATAAAATAAGAACACCCATACCTCTGGCAGCTAACCCTGACAACTACCTTCATTCACAGTGCTTTGTACTTAAACCATGATGGGGAAATGAGTCAAAAGCAGAGTCACTGCTCTTCAACATCTCACAATAACCCAGATGACACTTCTAGCCTCTGCTCATGCTTTACAACAGTGAATCAGGACAGGACATAGAGTTGCTAATGTGCATGTAATCACCAAAGATGAAGATGCCTGGGCTTTTATTCTGTAATGGTTCTAAGACTGTGTCCATTAAATGCAAACAAAAAAAGGAAGAAGTCTTGGCAGAACAGGAAAGGGATGTACACTTGATGATCTGAGCGAATTAAATATTATTCATGGCATATAGCCTAGTCCATGCTCTCGCTGTAGACAAAAACAAACGAGCAATTGTTAGTTTACTGAGTTCATTACATTTCTTTCCACACACCATAAAGAGCAAACAAATAAAATTTGTGGAAATGTCATGTCATCCACCTATCTATCTATCTATCTATCTATCTATCTATCTATCTATCTACCTACCTACCTACCTACCTACCTACCTATCTATCTATACACACACACACATACACTTGACAGCAGTCACATTATTATTCTATTATGAATATATATATTCATTATATATTGAATATATATATTGAATATATATATGAATATACAATGAATACATATATTCATATATATTCTCCTAAATCTATACCATCTCCTGTAAACTGGATCAGGTCAGTTTTCTGAATAACTTATTACCAAAACAGTACAATGAATTAGAAAAGGGTTTTATTTGTTTTTAAGGGCATGTAGACCAGACTAGCTTTAAACCTTTCATAAAATTCGACAGATAGAAAAAAAGTATACTTTTCATCTGAATGATACTGTTCCTCCCTAATTTTGTTGTGATTATAGAAGTTTATTGATTCCATGCTTTCTATAAACGGCTACATACTTTCAATGGACTATAAAAGCAGCTCTAAATGGGTATAAGTTTTCTAGTATTCACATACTGCTCATATCGTACTCATTATTATTAAATTCATGTGGTTAAACACACACTGCAAGATCTCCTTTTAGAGATTATTCTGAATTTATAAATATATATATATATTAAATGGTAACAGACCTATTTTGAAAAGCAGAAGCAGGTAAAAGAGAATAAATATAAAGTACCTGTTTCTATGGCTTGGGCTTCATTGGTCTTCCACTGCTCGGCTACATCATTTGCTAATGGATCATCTGGATTAGGAGCACTTAACAAAGCCTGGATTGATAGCAGAACTGTGCGGATCTGCAGTGCTGGGGACCACTTATCTATGAAGGTAACAGGCCCAGTATGATATGATACAGCATGAAAAACAGGCCCACAACTGTTGTACTTCCCTCCCACACATTCTGGTGGTCTTAGCGGAAGGTGAGATTACAATGTTTACATTCTAAACATGGAATGCTCAATACAGAAAGAGTATGTTAATAGCACAGGGTGACAAACAACACTTACCTTTCAAAATATCTAAACATATTCTTCCCAACTTGTCTACATTAGGATGATAAATTTTGGTCATGAAACGTACTTTAGGTGCTGCCATTGGGTATTCTTCTGGAAGGAATAGTTCAAGTTTAAAAGTCCCTCCCTCAAAGGGGGAATCCTGGGGCCCAGCAATGACCACATGAAAATAACGGGCGTTGCTTTCATCTGGTTCTGCTTTAATGCCAGGAACTGGTTCTGCCAGCAAACGCTGGGTTTCCTACAACAGAAAAACAAACACACTTGTGAAAAAATGTCATTTTACTAAACATTAAGTTCATCTTTTGGAATTAGACATAACAGAATCTTACGGTGATACATAATTTAGCTCATAAAATGTAAAATTCAAAGAAAAGAATGTTTCTCTCACTTCCCCACATGTCATAATATGGTACACACACACAGTAAAGCAATAAATGCTAAAAGAACTGGGCGTGGTGGTATATGCCTTTAATCAGCAAGGCAGGTGGATCTCTGTGGGTTTATGTCCAGCCTGTTCTACATAATGAGTTCCAGGACAGCCAGGGTAACGTAAACAAATCCTGTCCATCTCTGTTCCTCCCTACCCTCCAAAAAGATTTTGTATAATCAAAACCACCTCAATGTAACTGCAAAATATTATCATATTCTAGATTAGATTATAAAATTGATTTTATATTCACGTAAAAGAAAAACAATGACAGCTGGATTGCTGCAATGGGTAAAGCAACTTGTTCTAAACTCTACTAAAAAACAATCTTCCCTTCTAAAACACTTGGTATCCTCAAGGACATTAAAATCTCTGGATGCTCAAGTCTCTTACATAAAATCGTACAGTATTTGTATTTAAACTACAAAAATCTTTCTGTATATTTTATACCATCTCTAGATGACTTGCAGTGCTTTAATACAGTGTGAATGTTATATAAGTAAGTAGCAATACACAAATTAGGCAACAATGACTAAATTCTTTACATATTCAATAAAAACACACTATTCTCCCATAGGACTTTCCATCTGCATTGGGTCCATCGGCATGGACACAGAGAGCTAACTGTAACAGAAGTACTGGTGATAAGAACAAGTCCAGGAAACTGGATGTGGTAGCAGCAGCACACCCTTGGATCCCAGCCATTAAGCAGAGGGAAGCAGATCTCCAGATTGACGGTCAGCCAGAGCTATACAGCTAAGAACCTGTCTTTGGAGTAAAGACAAGCAAGAACATCTATCTCTAGGGGACAAGCACACACCGGGCAAGAGATATAAGAGATGGAGGATGAAAGGCAGGATACACTGGCCCATGCTGATAAGCTTGACAATCTCTGAAGGGCCTTTAGTATGTTCTCCAATAATCAAACCAAATTCCATTTACCAGGACTCTCTTGAAACCCCCAACTATCCATCTTCTCCACTGCTTTTGACTGGTGCTCTGCCTATTTCATGAGAAGGCAAACATCGTTTAAGTCTCCACAACGGCACCTGCACACATACCTGCCTTTGCACCTATGTACTGCTGGCCTTCTCACAAATTTCTTGGAACTACCAGAGCACTGTACCAAGGCCACCCTTCCACTTGAACATAGACTTCTCCTCTCCTCTCCTCTCCCCCCCAAGAAGAAAACACAAACATCTCTCTCGAATCAGTTCTTTCCTTTTTTGACCTGTCCTAAAATCATATAAATTTTATTTCTCCTTAATAAAAGGAGGGAACAAGGCCTGGTATAACAAAGCTGGCTTTACTGGCAGGTTGTTAAAAAGTGAAGACACTCCTTGCTTGGCATCTTCTGTTTTCTGCCATGTCGTGACACAGCAAAAAAAAAAAAAAAAAAAAAAAAAGGTCCTTGCCAGAAACAAACAGATTGACCTGCCTGATCTTGCACTTTCTACCTCTAAAACTTTCTAAGTACCCAGCTTCAACATTTTAGTACAATAAAAGAAAATGGACTAACACAGCAACCCAATTTAACTTAACCCAAACTTAACTTTGTAACATTCCCCAGCCCCCCAGTTTTCTCCATGTTAGTTAATCCTGTAGGTTATATATCTAACCTGATTTTAACTGTTAGAAATAATTACTGAACAGAAAGACAGGCATGGTATACACTCATTTATAAGCAGATATTAGCCATGTAATATAGGATAGACATATAAAATCTACAGACCTAAAGAAGCTAAACTCCAAGGAGAACCCTAGGGAGGATGCTTAAATCTCATTCAGAATGGCAAACAGGATAGACACCAGAAGTAGTAGAAGACAGGGAACAGGATGGGAGCCTACTATAGAGGATCCTCTGAAAGACTCCTCCCAACAGGGGATGGAAGCAGATGCTGAGACTCACAGCCAAATTGTAGGCAGAGTGCAGGTGGAAGAAGGGGGTGGGGATAGAAGGACATGGAGGAGACAGGAGCCCGACAAGGAAACCAACAAAGCTAAAAAATCTGAGCCCAGGGGGTCTTGCAGACTGATGCACCAACCATGGACTATGCATGGAGAGGACCTAGACCCCCTGCTCAGATGTAACTGGTTGCCAGCTCAGTCTCCATGTGGATCCCCGAATAAGGAGAGCAGGGGCTGCCTCTGTCATGAACTTGGTTGCCTGCTCTTTGATCACTTGTCCCTGGCGATGCAGCCTTGTCACACCATAGAGGAAGAGGATCCAGGCAATCCTGATGAGACTTGACAAGCTATAGGCAGAAGGAAAAGGAGAACTCTCCCTTTCAGTAGACTAGGGGAAGGGGATAAACAGGGGGGAAGAGGGAGGGAGGGTAGTGATCGAACCAGGCCTGACCCCCCAACCCAAGTCACTGGTCCCAGGAACTAGGCCATAGGTCACCAATTCCAGGAAGAAGACAATAACATTCCATACCCAACGAATAGCCTGGAGGTAACCTCAAGAATGGGAAGGTATCTTATCTCAGGATGGTGCATCTGTGTTTGGCAGCCCACTGACCTGGTAGTAGAACTTTCAAGGCATGGAAATACCTAACATTCCTGAGGTCTATAGATAGCTTGCTCAAAGTTAGCCACACTCACTTTGTAACAAGCTTGACCTTGCTAAATGTCACCCAATTGTGTAACTGCTAAACTGTAATTTCCCAAACCCCACTGTAACCCAATAAAAACCTTCCTCCCGAACCGCTGCACTGGTGACAGTGGGGGCCTGAGCTCAAGCTTGTAATAAAAAGACCCTACTGCGTTCGCATCAGAATCAGCTCCTTAGTGGTCTTTGGGGTCCAAGATACTTGAGCACAACAGTGGGCCTGGGAGGAGTTGAGGGAGGGGGCTTCAACGGGAATCCATAATGAATACATTGTGAAAAAATACAAAATTAAAATTAAAAAAAAAAGACATATAGCTCAGTAAATACTGATTAAAGCTCAGGAGCAAGACTGTGTGTACAGTCTTGTGCTGGATCTCCAGCACAGACCACTCGGGTCAAGCCTCTACCAAGTACTAACTGGCAAACTAAACAACCTTCTAGAATTTTCCCCAACTTCCAATCTTGACCTTGCTACCTGGTTCTTCTTGGAGTCTATTTAAAAGTCAGAGCCTTGCAATGGACTCCTGTATTCTACCTACCTTTCCAATTCACCTTCAGCTATCCTCCACCCCCACCTTTGTTCAAGCCCACTGAACCTCCTTACAGTTCTTCAACCTACTAAATTTCCACTTCAGAGACTACACTGTCCTTTCCCCTAGAGAACATTTAAGTAAGAAAAAGCCAAAAAAAGAGCCTATCCTTTCTTTTAAAGGAAAAAGGAGAGAAATGTTAAAAATCAGCAGAGGAGCAGAGAAATGAAAAATAACTAGATGGCAAATTTTCTTCAATTTTGGCCTGTCCTCCACTTTGTTTTTATCCTAAGTTTCCACAAAAAGGGAGGCTGGAAAAGGGGAGACGGAGCCCAAGAATCTAAGTCCCTGATTATACACAGTAGCAGCTATTTAAAGCTCTAACAAAGCTACCAAAAGTACCTCCAAGATCAAAGCCTAAAATAGTTCGAAATCCCTCTGCATAGTCAAATGCCACATTGACACTCTTTGCCATCAGTTTACCTACCCTAAGTTAGTCACTCCTCCCAAGAATACAGTAGTGTGTGTGTGTGTGTGTGTGTGTGTGTGTGTGTGTGTGAAAGAGAGAAAGAGAGAGAGAGAGAGAGAGAGAGATGTATGCCTGTAGTCCTGGCACTTGGGTAGCTAAGGCAAGAGGGCAGCTTTGCATCAAAGCTGGCCTGGGCTACATAGAGTTCCATGCCAGGTACACAGCAAGACCCTGTCTCAAAAACAAAATGTACCTATAAAGTAGCAAGCAACAAGACCTGATCGATCATAAGACTTCCCTGGAATATATACTGTAGTTAAGTTTCTTTTAGATGTACAAAACATCCCTCTCAGATGACTATGAATTTGGCAAAATAAACAGATACATAATTATCTAGGAAACACTGTTTATTTCCCAAACTCAGCACCAATTTTTAGGGGGGGAAAAAGAAAAAAGAAAAAAGAAAAAAAAAAAAAAAAGCTCTGACACCAGTGCTTGAAATCCTTACCCACAGGTAAAAAGGACAACACCAGAAGGAAATAATCTCTCTTGCTACTGTCAAATCATATGGTTAATTGTGAAGTACCTTCAGGTTTTATAGTAAAGTTTAGTGTGGTTTCTTTAAGTGATATTTAAAAATGTAATTCCTACTGCTTCACTTGTTTAACTTTCTGAGTAAGCTCATTCTTTTTAACTCATGCAGTTATGGTACTTTTGCCTTGCACACAATCTGTCTTCTTACAGCTGTAATTATCCTTGGTCAACCTCAATCAAAAAATATTATTGATGGGCCAGCAGGATGGTACAGCAGGTAAACCTTGCCACACAACCCTGACAACCTGAGTTCTATCACTGAAGCTCTCTGACTTCCACAAAGGTGTTCTCTATCCTCCTAGCCCTCTTTCATACTCACTTAAAACAAGTACTAATTTCTAAAATAGTAAATGGAAATTTTCATCAGTAAATGAATTGTAAGGTTTTTGTTTGTCTGTTGTTGGGGATTATTTTTGTTTTGTTTTTTTAGATAGGGTCTCAACATGTAACTCAGGACAACCTGGAACTCATTATGTGGAGGAGGCTGGCCTCAAACTCAGAGATTGACCACTTTTGTCACCAGAGTGCTAGGATCAAAGGCATGTGCCACCACTACTGGCTTTATGAGTCCTAAGCCTAAGCTGCTCACTTTTCCATCCCTTCAGCA